AAAAAAAGATATTTTCCTCTCACTCTTTCCTTAGTTTACATGCAACTTTGGTACAGTATCTGCTTTATCTACAAGTAACTGCTATTTGTAGTTAATATAGGCAATATTTTATGAGATCACCTCACATATTTTAGTATCTTTTCTCTCTTTCTTTTTATATGTGTATAAAAAAAAAAAATTAAAAAAAAAAAAAAAGATATTTTCTTCTCACTCTTTCCTTAGTTTACATGCAACTTTGGTACAGTATCTGCTTTATCTACAAGTAACTGCTATTTGTAGTTAATATAGGCAATATTTTATGAGATCACCTCACATATTTTAGTATCTTTTCTCTCTGTTTCTTTTTATATGTGGACTTTTCTTCTAAAATCATTCTTCTTGGAGTATGTTTAGAAATTCCTCTAGTAAGTTGCCTGGTGTTTTCTAAATTTTTATTTTCTTGAAAGGTATCTTATTTTACTCTCATTCTTTCATTTTTTTGTTGTATACACGTTTGCATGTGTAACTTTATTAATTGCTAATGAAAATTAGAACTTTTCTGGGATATTCTGAGAAGATTTTTTTTAAATCTTAAATTGCTTTCTCTTCAGTGAAGCCATCCTTGGAGTTAGTCACTATTCTCACCATTTCTGTTATCTTGACTCCAAAGCTGATCTTCCTCTTCTTTTGGTCCAGACCCTCAGATTTTAAGCTTCAAGTTAAGGAAAGGTAATTTTTCCACAGTTTGGTCCTCTGAAAAACTTCCATCTCCCACTGCAAGTCATGGTCCAGGAGTGAAGCAATCACAAACTGGAAGTTCTGGGCCAATTGGAAAGTCATCTGAACAATCACATTGGTCGGTCTTACTACTACAAGGCTGAAAATGCGCAGTCCTGAAAAATTCGGCCTCTCTGTGCACTCATGTAATTTTTAAAAAGGAGAGGACAATATGAAGGAGGCTAAAGTTTGACCACCAAAAATCAGCATAATGAAAACAATGATGAATAATGAGCACTAGAATTCAAATTACCAGATGTTTTAAAAATACGGGGTGCCCGTTTTCATTTCTATTTTGAACACCACATTAAAATTTTTTTTTTAAAAATAAAAAAGGATTGAGGGAAAAGAAAAAAATAAAAGGAACATTTAAACTGTTGAACGACCCCATTTGTTCCTGATAAACTTCAATCACATCTTCTTCCTCCATTCCCAGTTTTTCTGGAGTATGATTATCAGCAATGCTCTGACCTTCAAAGAGAAACCTGAGTGAATTCATTGGAACTCCCTCTCTTTGACAGTATGATACTTTAAGTTTTTTGAGATGTGTTGTCACTTTCACTTTGAAGTGAATCTCACTGCTAACCTGTCCAATGACTTTAAGTTTAATGTATTTGTCTTCCTTCTCATCCCCCACGTCCTCTGTTGAAGGTTTTGCCTCCTGCTCAGACATAGTAATGGAGGTTTCCCCCAGGTCTCCACAGCACATTAGCCTCGGGGCAATAGGACCTTGCTCACTCCAGTACAATCCCATCTCACTGTTCACACTCATTCTTGAAAGACAGTTTCATTGGATGTATAAATCTAGTTTGAAAGTAACTGTCCAGTATTCCGAAACTTTTATTCTAATGTTTTCCATCTTTCACTGATGCTATAAGAAAGTTCTACATCTAATGGTAGCTGTTCATCAAAATTGTCCATCTGTGGTTCTTTTAAGATTTTATTCTTATCTTCGGAGTTATATGGTTGGGCTTCAGTGTATCTAGTTGTATGTTTCCTTCTGTTTATCTGGCTTGGGATTTGTTAATGTTCCTGAATCTAAAGGTTTATATCTTTCATCAATTCTGTTGTTTTATTTTCAAATATCAGCCTCCTCCTTTTTTCATATTTCCTCTTTTCTGAATACCAGCTAGATGTATGTTGATCTGCTCACCATAACCCCCACATCTTTTAACATGGTCCCTATATTTTCCATTTATTGCCCTTTTATTCTGTAATTTATCGTCTTTCTGTTATAGTTCTTAATTGTTCAAACCAAGTAGTGCTTTTCAATTTATTATTCTAATTACTAATCTCTTCATTTAAAAGTAATTTAACTATATTTGATAGTTTGTAATCCCTTAATAGTATTTAATTCATTTTTATTTTTAGTAACTACAATAAAAATACTTATTACATGCTTACCTGATAAATCTAATACTTTTCTTCTATCTTTATTGCTTTGTTGATCCTAGACCATCATGGTTTCCTTAGACATTTAGTTATTAATCATACTGGGTATGTAGCCATTTTAAGTTTATCGATAAAATCATTTGGAATTCGTACTGATTGTATGTACCTCTAACAAGGACTTTCATTTGCTTCTGTGAGTCATCTAAAAATAATTTAAATGTTTAGCTTGGGGATTTTAAGCTGGTAAGTAGTATAAATGTCTACTGTCAATTCTTCCATCTTTTATGGGCTTTTGTTCTTATCCCCCACATAGATAGCAAGAATTTCCCAGGATAAAGGAGTTCAATTTGCTTTTGCATGTCCAGATCCCTCTGCTCACTTAGCCATTTGACTTATGGGATTTCCTTATTTTTGAGCCAGCTTGATCATATACTTCAAATAGTTATAAAAGATACTAGATAAAATATTTACTCCTTGTAGTGAGTGATAGCAATACTTTCAATATGCTGGTCAGCCATATAATAAGCAATGAGTGTTATTAGTTTAAATTGCTGGAGTATGGTTTTAGGGAAATTCTATTACTAGGGCATATATTTTATTTGTAATAATGTAGAGTATCCACATACTTTGTTAAATTCAGACTGATAGTTCAAATTCACATGATTTTATAACGTATCAATTACTCTTACATCATTTATTTTAAAGATATGAAGGCAATAATAGCACTACATGCAAGTAAAAGGTTGTTTCATTTTCATTAGAAAATCCTAAGGAGCAAAAATCATCGGAATTTCATCTACATGGCAACTTAACACAATCAAATGACTAGATTAAAATATAACCTAAGTATTTTGAGCTTTTTAGAAGTTACTTTATCTATCATAATGCTTGTTTTATTGTTTCTCTGATGAAAATAATGGTAGAGATTATTTATACATTAATTTAATGCTTATATTTAACTTATGTGTAGGGTATTCCTGGTACCAAAAACAAAACAAAACAAAACAAAACTTATGTGTAGAGTAATCTGAGGTGATGGAGCTTTTAATAATATACCAATTTATTTCTCATGTTTACTTTTTGCATTTTTCTACTCTCCTATGCGACATTTCAAAACCACAAATGAAACTTTTAACTGATTTTTAAAATTAAATACAACTTCATAAAACAGAAATAACTGTGTTGGTCAAAATCTTGATTGAACTTATTTTCAGTCTACATTAATTCAAAGACACCTGAAGCTTACTTCTTGCTGCATCTGACATGAACATTAATAATGAAATAGCTTCTCAAATTCGGTAAGCTTTCCTAATAGAATCCAGTTGAAGATATTAAAAGAGATGCTTGGCTGTTAAATCTTCCACCCTGCGCTATCATATATGATATACAAAATTGCATATCTCAAGAACAAAATAAAAATAAAATAAAAGGACAGTTCAAATAGGAAGCACTTAAGCCAGTTTATTTTCCATGTACTTTTCCCAAAAGAATGTTTAAATTATAAGATCTCTGCCTTAATTCATTTGCTTACAGTTCTATTCAATTATAAATTAACACTCTAAAAAACAAATTGCTACATCTGCTAGTGATTAGAAGTACAGTAATATACTACAAGTAATTTTAAATTATCTGAATACTTCATTTTCTTTCCATTTGAAACAAAAACAAAAACTGAAACCAAACATACATATGTACAAAATCTGGTGCTAACATTTGTGACATATGAGTTTGACATTTTAAATAAGAAAAGAAATACTGGAGTGTAATTTCTTTTGTGCTTCTACTTTAACATACATATAAGTAGAAATAGAATTTTGGAGCCAACAAGTACCTCCTGTTTTTGAAATTCATGGGCTCTAAAAGGTTTGCCCCATAGTCTTCAAACTCCTTCCAGTGAGATTTAAAATAGTCACCAGTATGAAGTGGCACAGGGGAAGTAACTAGCATATCTAAGAGCTAAGTGAGCCAGGGAAGTCCTTCCACTTAGGGAAGGGTCAGAAGAAGTCCTACATGTTTAAAATGTAACAACAATACACAAGCATTCACAAAAGGGCAAAAATCACATTGTCAATGAATTGTATATTAGAATTTATGAAAACTAGTCACTTTAAATCATACCAAAAGGACTTTTTTTCAATTATACATAATACTGGTGGTAACTCTTTTTTTTTTAACCACTGGAAAAATGGTTTTTAAACTGAATTTAAAACAAAAGTACCTGGCTTGTGTGACTTATCCAAGCCAGTGACAAGATGTAACTCAAATGCTGCCAAATAAGCTGTGTAACAGAATAGTTTGAGGAGAATGGACATGAGGCAGAATGCCTGGGTTTGAATCTCACTTTGGCACTTATGCCACCTCAGCAATATTCCTTTTAAGGCATCCTTGTGCATTGCATTCTCTACAAAATATCCCAAGTCACATTTTTAAAAATATTAATCAAGTAAATACATGTTTTTCTCTAAACCTTTCAGTATGTTCCAAAGAAATAATAACAGTCACATTCCTCAGTATCTGTGGGGAATTGATTCCAGATTCTCACAGATACCAAAATTCAAAATGTTTAAATTGATTATATAAAAAATGTAGTATATGTATATAACCTAAATTAGCTCATATAAATTCTAAAACATCTCTGGATTACATTTAACATCTAATACAATGCAAAAACTATGTAAATAGTTGGCATATAATATAGGGAATGATAACACAAAAGAAAAGTCTATGTATTCAGCACAGAGGCATTTTTTCTGGCTTTTTTTTTTTTTTTTTTTTTTTTTTTTTTTTGTACTGGGGATTGAACTCAGGCCCTTGTGCTTGCAAGGCAGGCAACAGAGCCACTGAGCCAAATCCCCAGCCCATTTCTGACTATTTTTGATCCAAAATTGGGTGAATCCATAGATGTGGAACTCACAGACATCAAAGGCTACTTAAATTGTAGTGTTTTCAGGATTCAATGAGCTAATTTCATAATGTGCTTAGGGCAGTGATTTAGTAAGCACTAAATACGCATTTAACTATTTCCTTTATGTCAGAAAGAGGAGGAAATCAGATCAGCTGTGAATAAACCTGAATCTTGGTCTCAGTATTGCTACTGTCTCAGATAAAAAGATTAAGAGAAATTCAGTTTCACCTGTGACACTAATCATTTCACTCACCTCCCACGAGTTATCAAGTGATTTTATGCATATAAGGGGTCTTTAAAAACAAAGTACAACTTTCTATCTGAGAGATAAGCACTGAATTTCAAGGTACTGTATGATATGAATTCTTATTATAAAATTTCAAAATATAAAATGCCAAGTTTATGTATATTTACCTTCATATTTAATGATGTAACATTTAATGGTATCCTTACCACTTGAAGAACATGCCTTAAAATGCATCTCTACATCAATAATATAAGGGGAATTATTCAGCTATTTGTTAGTATGTCCCATTAGTTTGTCACATTTTTTGGTATGATTATTAATGAAGAATTTTTTAATTCTCTCTTGTTTCTATAATTCAACTTTATTGACTATAATATCTTTTGTTTTCTCTACTATTCAGTGCAGAAACAAAATGGTAGGAATAACCAAAAAAGGAACCTAACAGAAACAAACAACTAATGTCAGGTCTCAGCATTTGTTCTACTACGAGCTGTGGTATCTTGCCCCTAGCATCTGAAACCCCCATATGGTATTTCTCTTGGTCCAAACAGAGCAATTCTAATGGGCCAATGAGTTGATATCCCCAGTGAACTTTCAGCTAATGACATTGGAGGATAAATCAACTAATTTTCTCAGTTTTGGGGTGGTATAACTCTGAGGTGTGTTCAATACCATTTCCCAGAAATCACTAGCAGGACTGAACTCCAGTTTTCCATAACGGAAAGAGCCCATGCTTTCTTGGTCTTCTTTGTTGATCTCTCTTCTGCTTCATTTCTAAATGTTCATGCACTGGGAGCTAATCCTGAAAAAAGCTCTTTTTCCATCTTCCTTCATTCACTGCCTAGATGATCTCATCCATTTCAAGTTTTTATGTAATAATGACTAAAATTTCATTTTCAGCCTTGGATTATCTACTAACTCCACACCCACATTTTCAAGTGCTCTTTACATCCTCACCTAGATGTTAATAAGGCCCAGGAAGAACTATTAGTGGCTTTTCCAAAACCTGCCTCTCCTTCATCTTCATACTTCAGGAAGTACTATCACCATCCATCAGTTGTTCAAGCCAAAACCCTAGAAATCATTCTTCCTTCCTCCAATATTCCACTCCTACACTGAATCCTTTAGCAAGTCTTAGTGACTTTACCTCCAAAATATGCTCTGAAACTTTCTGTTTGTCTCCGCCTCTAATCCTACCACCTTCATATAAGACACTGCATCTTCTCATCTAGCTATTGCAATAGACTCCTACTAAGACTTCCTTGTACACTGCATTTTTCACAGAAT